TTGTATTTTTTTTATTTAATTATCAATATATTATATTATAACTGTTTTTTTTTATTGAAAAATGTAAAGTTATAATTTTATCGTTTTTAAATTAGTCAAAGTTATGGTCAATGCCAATTCTCTGGTCAATTAATTATCAAACTAACGATTTTCATTCATTTTGACTTCAAATGTAAATTTCTGAAAGGTTTGATACTGTGATGAAGTTTGCATAAAAATCAAAGGTTTGGTACCGTGAGTGCTATTTTTCCCATTTTATAAGTTAGTCTATGTGTAATAGTACTATTAAATACTTATGAGATGTATGAGTTTACATAAATGTTGATAATAAATGATTAATAATTATTCATTATAAGAATACATTAAGGGGGTGTATTCAATTGAGACTTTTAATAACTTTTTGAGATTTAAAAAGTTCAGGGTATTTAATTGAGACTCTCTAAAAGTCACGGTATATTTAATTGAAATTTTTATAGACTTTTAAAAAATTTATAAAAGTTACGGTATATTCAATTAAAATTTTTTAGAAGTCTCTATAAGTTTTGGGGTATTCAAATTTTAATGACTTCTAGAGATTTTTATAAAAGTCTCTGGAGTACTAACTTTAAAGCAGAAAGTACTCATATAAAATTTCAAAATTTGTTTTTCATTAATCACGATATTTTGGGAGACTTTAAAAAAAAAAAAAAAAAACTTAATATGTATATTTATTTGTTTTAATGGTTATCTTTCCTTCTCTTTTATTGTTTATTTCCATTTCCTATGAAAATTAAATTGTAACAAAAAAATTTTATAACTTTTTTTTTCCATTTTTTGTGAGAAAAATCTGTTTGTAATTAAATTATAAGATCTCATGTAAAAAAATTAATATATAATTAAATTTGAATAAATTGATCTCTTTTTAAATATATGTCATATTGATAATTTTTTATTTTTTTTTTATTACGTGAGAAGGGGAAAAGGAATTGTGGGAACAACTATCTCGTATGCGAAAACTTCACACTTTCGTATTAGATCCACGTGAATTCTATTTTAAATGAAAAGTTTTCAAATATCTTTTGAATTCTACAAAAGTCCATAAAAATTTTAAAATAAGAGTGTATAAATATCTACAAAAAGCTTCCATTAATTCTATACGAATTTATGAAAGTCCATGAAATTCTCAAAAACCATCACTTAAAAAAATGCTTATAAAGTTTTCAAAATTCCGAATTGAATACATCTTCCTGAGTTATAAAACGTGTTATGTTATTTAACTCTCCAAACTGACACTATTTGTCTATTTGAGCACCATTTTTAAAAAAAGAATGAATTTTGGAATAATATATTAATAGAGAATATGTGATTAAATAATAAGAAAAAATTAAATTTATGTGTAATATTATTTTATTAAATAATGTGTAATTAAAAAGAAGAAAGAAAAATATATTTTTCAAAAATGGAGATCAAGGACTTCATTCTAAAGATTAAGTTCCTGTTTGACCCCCATTAAATTACATTCTGCTTTTCTCTCTTTTATTTTCAACCACACAATCTTTCATGAAATAATATTATACGTACATCGAAAATTTTTTCTTCTTTTTCAGCCACTCATTTTTTTTAATAAAACACTATTCCTTTTCATTTTCATTATAAAAAACTGAGTAGGGATGGCAATTTGAACCGTCAAAACCGAAAACCGCGGTTAACCGAACCGAATGGGGCGAAAAAAACCGAACCGATGCTGCAATGGGGCGGATATGGTTTTTATTTTAATGAACCGGTTCTTGGTGGTGCGGGTATGATATTTATGCCGTCGAACCGATTACCCGATATAAAAAAAAAACAATTGAATTGATTATTGGGCTTTACACTACTTTTCTATCTAGCCCAAAACAATATCCCCCCCCCCTCCACCCCCAATTACATCTACATGACTCAGTCGGCCAACCCACTTATCATTAGGCCATAATAATAACATTAGTATGACATTATATAAATGCAAACCCTACTCTCCACAAACCACAAATTCACGCACGGCTCCTTTTATTGTTAATTTTTTTCTATTGTGTGTAGAAAATTCTACTTCTTCATCATACTCTAGAACTTGTACAACGTTTAGCGAGAAGAAAGCTAACGAATAGGTATATTTTTTTATTTAAATCTTAGTTAAAACCATTCTAGAATAAGTAGTATCGTTGTATTCTCTACTTACATTTCTTATTTAATGTATAAGAATTAACTTTGAGTATTGATCTATGCTAGTAAGATTTGTGGGGAAGAATGAATCAAATAATTTCGATACACAATAATTAAGAATGAAGGAAAATTTTAGTATTGTTTGTTAAATTTGTATTTTACAATTGAAAATTGGGATAATGTTTGCTTTTTCGTTTGAAATATTGTTTGATAATGTTTTCATTTTCGTTTAAAATATTGTGTTTTTGTTTTCATTAACTTTTTTCATAAATTGTTTTATATCAATTTGATGGATGAACCTATAAAAAATAATTTATTTTCGTGGTTATTAATCGAACCGAACCGTGTCGAACCGAGATAATAACCGAACCGAACCGAATCGATTTACGTGGTTGTGGTGCGATTATGGTATGATTAAAAAATTGGTGGTGCAGTTATGATTTTAGTCGAACCGACCCATAACCGAACCGTTGCCAACCCTAAAACTGAGGGTCAAACGGGGCGACAAAAGTTTATCAATGTAGGTCATAAGCCCCCACAATCACGACCCCCGGTCGCCCATCAAAAAAAAAGGGAAAAGAAAAAGCATTGGGGACATTGATACAGCGCATGCTTAAAAGAAAGAGGCAGAATTTCAGAAATGGGTCCGGCTACGGTCACTGTCACGACTGCAATTATTTATTAAGACATGATTTTTTCAACGTACGAAAACAAAAAAGTAATTTAAATATTTATAAAAATATAACTTAAACATCTCCTTATTACGTAATATTTCCATTATTACATAACCTTCCAACAAGTAGCAATAATTTTTCCACAAAAGCTAACTTCTCTTTTTACTCAACACAAACTATAGCCCTGTTTGAGCCTCATTATTTATTCATTAAAATAAAAAATATGATCGTTATCTATCATATTAAGTCACCATATATGACTTTTTATCTCTTATATCGAACACATAATGACTATATTTTTCATTCTTATTTTTAGATTAATGTAGCTCAAAGGGAGCTATAATTGAGACTCAATTTAACGAATTTTATAAATTAGTTGTAAATAATAGTGTCTCTTTCTAACCACATTTCACTGGACATAAAAATAATGATTTACTTATTTACAACTCATTTCTTCTTATTTATAAATTAAACAGTTTTAAATTCTTCCAAACGGAAGCTAAGTTGTAGACCTTCATTTTCTCATTTGTTTTCGTAAAATTCATTTTTAACTACATATTTTTTCAATAAAATAATTTTATAGGTGAATTTTAAATTTTTTAAATACATTTTAACTACAGCTTTTCTTAAAAAAAAAAAAAATTAATTTTCACAAAATATATCTAAAAGAAATATCTAGAAAACATGTGTTAAATGTACAAGTGAAGTAATTGCATTCTTGCAGGAATTGCAACCGCAAATTCCCCACTGTCATCCTTTTCGTTTTCTTCGTCAACTGACGTCCTATTCTCGCTTCCCAAATTTTATGCCCTTAATTGTCCATTTTTCAAGGACGTGTTTGGGTGAGATTAATTGAACCGTGTATCCCTTTTTTTTTTGGCCACAGGAATGGTGCTTCTTTTCAGAATAATGAACCCGAACAATCATGGTCCTTACCGTGTGAAATTAAAAGATTATTAAATATTAATTTTATCATTTATGTTTTATCTCCCATGAAGAGAGCATTTTAACTCTATTAACGAGAGATGGAATTAAAGTATTGAATGAAACAAGACTAAGCTTATGTTTGGGAGTTATTTTTGGCCAGATGCAGAATACATTTTTTTGATCGTTTAAGTAGGTAGGTGGGACTCGGACAAACTATAATTATTGACTCTAAATGTTGTGCATGCGATTCTGAAGGAACTGGATTTACATTTTTTTTTTCATTTTCATTCAAAAGTTCTTATGTGTTTTATCGAAATTTCCATTTCTTCAAGAACAACGATTTTTGTGTGTGTGCGCGCGCGCGTGCATGTGTGTGTAGGGGCATATTGATAATTTGTCGGTAATAAAGTTAAAATATATGGCTCCGTCTCTTACAAGTCCAGTATAACGACTATAATTTTTCTAAAAATATGATACAAAATGGCTCCCAAATGAGGGTAAGGGTCCATTTGCAGGCTTCTACTTCTTTTTTTTTTTTTTTAAATAAAAAAAACTCTTTTATTTAATTTTTTTTCCGGAAACTATGTAATCTTGTTCAAAATTAATTTTTAGTCTTCCGAAGGAACACTTGACATTTTAAAAATATTTTTCAGAAATTATATAAACATGTTCAAAAATAATTTTTAGTCTTTTGAAGTAACTTTTGACATTTTAAAAATATTACCAAACTACCCCATTGATAGTAATTGAGATCAACCTAAAGGCAAAATTGACTGCTAGGATAATGGGATAAGACTTCGTTATGGTCTGAAGTTAGGCACCCCACTAGCAATAGCCCGTGGCCAATATTTGATAAAGCCTAAAATTTACTTTAAATTGATAAAATATATCAACAAGTTTCATAGGGATTACGAGTTATTATCATGCACATTTTGTCGACCTCACAACTTATAAGACTTTACTAACAAGCTAACACCAGTGTAATACATGAGCAAATATCAAGAGATTTTCAATTTGAGTTTTTCACATGTTTTTTCTACTTTAAAAACCACATTCTTCAAAAAAAAATAAAAAATCATTGTGGCATCATCCAAACAGCCCCTGGGTTTATGAAGGGCAGTATGGACATTTGCATCAACGAAAATAGCGACAGCAACTGGAGTCCTTTTAACTCCAATAACAACAAGAACAGTAATATTATCAATTAATTAATATATTAAATCCGAAATTTTAGTATAAAGCAAAAGTGATTTTTATTCCAAATCCTAAACGTTCTTCACCTCTCTCAGATTCTTTCTCCTTAATCTTCTGCAAAATTTTATATACACCATTACACGCATATAGAATAATAGAAGTAAGGGGGAGCGAAAATTGAATTCGTAGCAATGCAGGTAAAATTATTAATAATCTTGATTTTTTTTTTTTGAATTATTGAGGTGAATTATTTTTGCTAAAATTTGTTATGGTTTGTTATCTAATTTTGGTAGACAAGAACCATAGAAGTTCTGCGCGTATCAGATCTAGCAAGTGAGAGGGAAATCCACGAGTTTTTCTCTTTTTCTGGTGAAATTGAAAACCTTGAGATCCACAGGCACGCTGTTAATTTTCTTTTCCATTTATTAATTTATTGTATTATATAGTTTATTTATATATGTGAGCAATATTGATAGTACTGATTTTTGAATATTTGCAGAGAGCCTGGGCAGTCAAAGACTGCATTTGTGACTTTTAAAGATCCAAAGGCCCTCGAAATTGCTCTGTTGTTGTCGGTAATTTCCTGGTCTCTTTACTTTTGTTACTTGTTAATAGCAGTTCAGCACTTTATGGATTTTTGTTTAATTTTTCGGATGGGCAGCGTGGAGTGTGTACTGAGTAGGATGTAGTTGTTCTCTGAGAATTTAGTAATTTTTGGCTTTATTAATGCTGATTGCTTAAATAAAAATGATTAGAAATTTTGTGTTGCCATGCTCACAGATTAAGTTAGGAGTAACATGGCAGATAATAATAAATTGAGTTGCAATAAATTATTGTTGTGAAACTCTTTAAAAGTAGAAGGATGTTTAAAATCCAGAATGGGTTATACAAGTCAATATACATACAGACACAGTAATGGATTTCAACTCAGATCCTCCACATTTTCCGAGAAGTGGAAAGTCACATAATAAAGAGGGATAAGACATATTTATGTTTCACCTTAGATGAGAATTATTTATTCAAGACTTCGAGATCAAATCACTGGTCCGGAGAAAAGGAATAAGATTTTAAGGAAGCAAAGCTAAAGTAATCCAGTCCACAGATTATGACGGAGTTCAGGTTAGAAGAATTCAGCTGGATATTTGAGAGACAAAAATTCGTTATTTTGAATAGTGATATCATTTGAACTATTGTGGTAGCCGAAACAGTGGATTCCCGTGTCTTGCAACTTCTATCTGTTTTTAGCCGGTCTTGGAATCTAGCAACCTGTTTTTTGGTCACTCTGGCGCTCTTTGCATTTGAAATGGAAGCATGGAGTGATATAAAATATCCTCATTTGGAATTGGTACATTATGCACCAGTTGTGAACTAACAATTAACAAAGCACATTGCTCTGGTGCGTTGCTACTTAAAGGTCACCATAAGTGTTGGGAAGATGCCACTGATACGCCTTACTGTATCTAGCACTAGTCCCTCCGTAACATGTTACTGACTTACTGTAAAAGCTACTCTTAGTTAAGATTGTCATGGCATTATAAATTTGCAACCCAACATATATCATCTGAAATCTTCATTCCGTTGATTGAAATGGAATTAGTAATTTTTGCATCTTCTATGCTTGAACATGTGAGGAACTTTGATTCTAAAGAAAACACTATGATTTGTGTGCATTTGCAGGGAGCAACTATTGTGGACCAGATTGTTACTATAGTACCTGCAGAAAAGTACGTACCACAACCTGTGGATCAGGTGAACTACATATAATTTCAAAAGGTTTTTCTTCCTACACGAATTATTAAATCTAAAGAGTTGGGATGCTGTGTATTCAGGAAGTAAGGGTTGTTGACAATGCCTCGAGCATGTCTCAGGAAAATAATTCTCCAGTACCTGAGGTAATCAAACATAATGAATGGGTCTTATATCTCAAATAAGTAGCAATATGGTATATCTTATGAGTGACAAAGTGTAACTAGTTCTGATTCACATGCTTCTGCTGGTGGTCTGGAAATGATGGAAGTAGGAAGTAGGCAAAATATTCTTATATCCATACCTGTAATAGTTGATTGCGAAAGATAATTAAGTTCATATCTCTCTTATAGCTCAGGATATTAATATCTGATTGTTGCAATTCTATATCTCTAACTCCAGGGCAAAATGAGTCCAACTAATGGTAGCGTATATGTTAGTAAAGCTCAAGATGTTGTCTCGAATATGATTGCAAAAGGTCTAGCTATCAGACAAGATGCCATGAATAAGGCCAAAGCATTTGATGAGAAGCATCAGCTGACAGCCAATGCATCTGCCCGAGTGAATTCATTTGACCGTAGAGTTGGGCTGACAGAAAAACTCACTGTTGGAATTACAGTGGTAAATGAGAAAGTTAAATCTGTGGATCAAAGATTTCAAGTGTCTGATAAAACTGTAGCAGCTCTAATGGCAGCGGAGAGGAAATTAAATGACACTGGATCAGCTGTCAAATCGAGCAGGTTTGGAATTCTTCCTTGTTAGCGTGTTCTGTAATTGGTCTGTGTGTTTGTCTCTGTCTTTGACTAAGAAAGCAAATCCCTGTTCATTATATTTTAGTTTTTCTATCACACATCACGCCATAAATCTGGTGGTGTCCATACTTAACATGATGGCTTTTGATTTCAATGTAAACAAGAAAGTCTTAGATGAGAAATTTCTACATTTTTTGTCTTCCCTTTTCAAGACAAAGTGCTCTGTCTATTAAATTTTTAGCTGCACTGCGAAACTGTGTAGCAACAATTTGTGGAACATTGACAGTTGGCTTGGTGTAGGCCCCCTAAACTAGGCTGGCAACTGATTTTTTATTTTTTTATTTTGAAGTAAAATTGACTAATTGGAATGATCAGGTATGTGACTTCTGGGGCAGCCTGGCTGAATGGTGCTTTTAGTAAAGTAGCAAAGGCTGGACAAGTAGCTGGTACGAAAACTAAAGAGAAGTGGAATTTGGCATTAGCTAATTTGACTACAAAGGTTAGTGTTCTAGCCCACATTTTGTTTGGTTATTGTTAAGGTTGCCGTGGCAAAAACGAAAGGAAATAAGAGTAGAATAGGAATTTCGGAGGATGCATAAAAGCTTTAGCCATTGTTCATGTAAAATTATAAGTTACTAAAAAGTTACTTTTTCTATTCAATCAAAGTCAAACATTAATTTCAACTACACATTCACAACCACTACTCATTTATTAGTCACATTTCGTGGGACCCAATACTTTTCCTCTTAAAAAGTTTCTTATAATTTTACGCGAAGCTCCCTTAGATTTAGTTTAGTGTCTTATTACATAGCTATTAATCCACTTTCATCTCTAAATACATTGACCAAACTGAGTTAACATTAATTGTAATGTTAGTTTATCTATTTACAATTGCGGCCTATCAATCAGCCCGCCATGAAACCTTTCTGCTGGCATGCTACGAATTTGTTCCTTATTCTGGAAAGGAGAAAAAAATGGTTTGGCATGCAGGTCAATTTTTTCCTTTTCAATAGAACTCCTAATGTAGAGGGGCACATATGTTTTATCAGAACAAAGAAAGCACATGATTGTACTGTATTTATAGCTAAACCATAGAACATTGTTATTTTCTTATCCATAAATCATAAAACAATATTTTTTCTTATCAATAAACCACAGAACACATTACTTTCTAGCCAAATCAACCTCTTCTTTCTCTTTGTTTGATAATAGTTCTCAGTCGCTGCCAAACATCAATAAATTCATCCATTTCTTGCTCAAAAACCCAAAAATGGATTTGTCTACAAAAGCATATTCTTCATATCTCGAAGGGAAAAAACTCATTTCTTCTTTCCATGTTTCGAAAACAGACGTTGTTACTAATGATTAATACTCCTCCTGTCCCATAAAGATAGGCTTGTTTCTATTTTCACATATGTTAAGAAAACTTAATTAATATATGTTGAAACTATAAGTTTTACATATATTTTTCCTAATATACCACTACATTGAATAATGGTAGTTCATAATTGTTGATAATAATGCACATCAAATAGAGTTATATTAGCAAATTAAAATATTAATTATACTCTGAACAAAGAAAGTGGCATATAATTTGATTCAAACTAAAAAGGAAAGCAAACCTATCTTTGTGGGATGAATGGAGTATTTTCAAGTTATTTTTATTACCTAGTTCACGTGTCATTTGTTTGAATTTAAGATTTTAAGTTTTGTTAATTTGATTGTTGTCGAGACATATGACCTTAGCCGCCAATGTCCCTTAGTTTTCCCCATACCAGTCTTCAGTTCAAACAAGTCACGTAGTGCACATGTATTTTAGCGTTAGGTATAAGGTTACCTTCTGCTCCCGTTGACTCGAACGTACCAATTCATTCTTTCATGTCGTTTTTGCATGTGCAGGATCGTCCTATAGCTGCATAAAACAGACGCTTGAAGCCACATAGGAATGCTTGCTCTTAGTCCAACGGTCTGTTTGAGAATGATGTATCATCGATTGGACAACTTAGTAACGGTTCCATCAATATACCTGCTAAATTGATTGTATTCTATCTACGATTCATTTTATTATTTTTACTTGTTTGATTTTGCTTTCCAAGAACAGTCTTGTGTGTCTTGCTTCTCTGTAACTTGTCAGGGTGTGCGATGCTTTGTAATAGAGGAAAATGAATTTTTATTGGCATTGCATTAATCTTGCTGCAGTCCAACACTCAAAATTGTGTAGTTATGGGGAAATTATTGGTCCAAAAACATTATATTCCTTTGTTTCCGTCAATTAATCTTGCACATGGGAATATAATCTGGGTGAAGATCTCTCTTTGGTATATAGTATTATTGTACGTAGTAATAGTAAAACAGACAATATTCTGGCGTTTTTCTACCAATATCTGGCCTTGTTGACTAGGAGAATATTTCAAGAAAATATTTGACAGAAGTTGTGTACATGTGCATCCGCATCTGCATCCAGATTGTTTAATTTGAGTGTGTGTGTGTGTATGTATATATATAAACACACATATACATACACAGAAATGATCGTAGAAGCACCAGTGCTTAGTTTATGTTAAGTATCGTTGATTCGTCAATTAAATGGTGTGCCATGTCACTGATATATATATACTGGCAATGAAAAGGGGTTCTCTAAGCTTTGGCGATTTCTTTAAAGCGAGTTGTCTGACAATTAAGAGCTCGTTTGATAGGGATTTTGAGAATTGATTTTTTAACCGTTAGAGATAAAGTGATCCTATTTATGAGAGAAAAATTTAAAAATGACGGTTGGAATAGTGAAATAATAGTAAAAAAATTGATTTTAATTTACTTAAAATTTAAACCAAACAAGCACTAAATTGGATCATATTAACGCTCACAGATAGTCACATTGAAGCCAAAGTTGGTCACAACTAGTAAAGTTGGAGATGAAGGTGGTAGATTGTAGTACTGGTGTGTGGGTCACAATTCGTCGTTAAGGTCACGAGTTTGAATTCACAAGTTACAGTCATTTCATATAGGTCACAAATCAATATAAATGGGTCACAAATTAATATTAATAGGTCACATGTCGTTTTATAGAAGTCACGGATCAAATTTATTGGTCTCATTTTATATTATGAGTTACGAGTAGCAAATCACAGATTGAAAATCATATTTTATATGTCACGATATACACAGGTCACAAGTTATTACTCAGAAAAAAATTGTGAATTTAATATATTTAATTAAAAAAATATTTTTTTGATTAATTATTTCATAACTAAAATTTTAATATTATTTGATTTTTGAAATTTTAAATTTTATTTTCGAACAAGAAATTCGTATACTCATATATAAATTGCATTGAATATTTTATTATGAAGCCCATAGGAGTCAAACAAGGTAAATTACAGGAGTTTAATTCTTGTTCAATATGGAGGCAGATTGTACAGTTCAAGAGATTGGTTGAATGTTTATTTTAATAATTTAGTTTAACTCTTGTTCAATATGGAGGCAGATTGCACAGTTCGAGTGATTGGTTGAATGTTTATTTTAATAATTTATACCAATCTTTGACAATATTGATGATAATAGTTCCGAACTGCTTGATATGCTTAGTAATTATCTTACAAAAGTCAGAGTGCTCGTTTGAAATTGTTTTTAAGTTTTAATAAAGAGTGGGTTTTATAAGCATGAATAATAATTATAAGTCCTGTAAGATGTGTGGATAAAAAAATGTTTAACTAGTCCTTCGGGGCATAGCTCAACTGGTGGATCAATCAACATTGTCTTGCTTCCAGCGACAGGGTGGAGAGTTCGATTCTTGGTGAAAATCTGCGGCAAAAAAATTTGGTATAGAGCAATCACTGTGGAGGAGGGTTTCTTGTGTGCAGAAGTGTACAGGTAATGGGGAGAACCTGTGATCCAGTTGAGACATAACCCGCGATTTACCCCCTCCAAGGTTCTAGGGGCATGGGTCTTGGGGGTCCAAAATTTAGTTTGGTGTAAATTGTGATACCTGGATATAAAAAAAAATGTTTAACTACTTTAAATTATAATTCCAACTACGCCTAACATGTTCTGAAATCAAATTTTGATACATGTCCAAATGAGAAATTGACTAGGAAAAATAGAGTAACACTATTTGTTCATCATGATATACATAATGATGATAAGGAACAGAGAAATATTATAATAACTAAATTTCTTTTTGGTTTCTTTTTTCCATTTTTCTCTCTTCCATGCAAGCCATCATATATCTCATCAGTAGTACAAAATATTCCGGCCCTGTATTGTCTAAAATGGAGTAGGGAATCCCTTCCCTATTGGAGGAATCGATATCAGGACACGATTCGTTACTTTTGCAATTGATGTATTCCTTTCTTGAGTTATCATTGACAAGATGGAAATAGGAAAAGTCTATATGTACATAATTATTGCATATAATTTTGTTTATAATGTGATGTGGCAATCATCCGATTGTTGATGTGAAAGTGTGAGATTTGAATTAAAGGTTGAATCCAGTGCCACATATAATTATGGACACCATTATGTAGACAATTATGTACATGTAACATTTCTCATAAAAATGAAAAAGTCTATATGTACATAATTATTGCACATAATGTGATGTGGCAAGCATCCGTGTATTGATGAAAAATGTGTAAATTTTGGATCTTTTGATATTCGTTTGACTTTGTTTTTCATAAAAATTATCAATTAAATGATATAATTTTTTATAATTGTAGATTGAATTTGTTTGCATGGCTGAAAATAAATTTTTTTTTTTTTTAAAGTTTGAAAACCATTTTTCCACCAAAAACCAAAGAAAACCAGTTCGTTAAAACCATGGAAAATGAGATCACGTGAGGGAGTTGGAGGAAAATAAATTCCTTGAAAAAATTTGCTATCATGTCATTTTGATTTTGATGAAAAATGGAATTTTTCATGGAAAATCCAACTATCAAACATGCCTAAATATAATAATAAATGATGACATATTAAATACTATCCCAGCGCACCTCCACAAAAGCACAGGTACTTTTCAGTTCAGGTCTGCCAAATAATTAATTAGTTAATTTCCTCTTAGCTGACATGGCACCTTTTCACTGGAAGAAGTACGTGGCCCAAATCATATTACAGCAAAGAGAAGAAAGTAATTTCAGTCACGTCTTAAGATTTTCAAATCCATAATTTCAAATAACTATTTTTAGCTGAATAACTCATTTTTCATTTCGCAAAATATTTTTACATTAATTTGTCGATTCTTTTTAGTTAGCTTTTTATTTCTTGTTGAAGAGATATCTTAACTCATATAAAAAAATTTCCACCTTGACAAAATACTTCTAAAAAAATATTGAAATTTATTTAAAAACAGTTTTTTTTTAATGATCTTGAGTGTTCTGACCAGTTTACATGCACTTCAACTAATTCTACGAAATCCTAAAGTTTACAATCGGATACTCACCTCATTGATCCTGAGAGAACTCGAACTACTGATCATTGCGGAGCAAACCCAATAATTTTTAAAAACAGTTTCTTAATCTCAAAGTTATTTTTCAATAATCTTACCCAATGAACCCATAATATTGTACACGACAATTGAAATTTTCTAATTAAATAGTTTTTGTGTTATTATTTTTTTTCTTTTTGATACTCAATCCAGTTACAAAAAGAGAGCATATTTTGAAATTATACCTTCCTCAAATTTGAAAGCAAGAAAATTTGCCACAAATTAATTAAAAAACCAACCGAAGGCCAGGAAAAAAAAAAAAAAAAAAAAAAGAATGAACCCATAATATTGTACACGACAATTGAAATTTTCTAATTAAATAGTTTTTGTGTTATTATTTTTTTTCTTTTTGATACTCAATCCAGTTACAAAAAGAGAGCATATTTTGAAATTATACCTTCCTCAAATTTGAAAGCAAGAAAATTTGCCACAAATTAATTAAAAAACCAACCGAAGGCCAGGAAAAAAAAAAAAAAAAAGAACAGTTTTGAAATTCAGCTTATCTCCACGTGTCAACAGATCAGTCATTCCACGTGTCAAAAAAAGTCAGAACGGAGAAACCGTGGCCGCAGACCATTTGACCCTCAGACCCATCTCCTTAGTGGGTCAATCTCGAGAAAATCTAAGGGTATTTTCGACCTTCAAAATTTCCCAACTTCATAGATTTGCTTCTGTTGAATGGTGCTACAATGGGTGGTTTCTTTTTGGGTATATTCTTTTTCTCTCTCTCTCTCTAAAATTAATTTATAACTGATCACCTATACATATACAAAGATATAGACCAGTTTTTACATTTTAGAAAGAAAGGGCGGGGGAGCTTTATGCAAATTTTGCAAGTTTTTTTTCCCTTAATTTACATTCTTGGGTCAAGCATTGATTCGTCGTCTCAAGTGGTTGAATTTCCTCCAGAAATCTAAGGTGATTATGGGTTCTTTCTTATGTATCTGGTGTTTTTTTTTATTATTATTATTTTTTTATTGGGGGAGGGGGCTGTAGGTTTTCTTTGTGTTTGTGCTTTTTAATCTACCAATTTTAGTTGGGGTAGGTTTCGGGTTGGTGTCTGTTTCAATGATTTCTAGGAATCTAAGTTAAACGGTATTCTTGATTGCAATTCACACTTGAGTTTATTACGATTTGGGATTATTCTTTTCGTTTTTTACACGGGTATGAACGTCGGTTATGAACATTTGATGCTCAAAGACTCGATCCTTTTGTGTAATTTCATCATTTTGGATGTCGAGAATGCAAAATTTTGCTTTACAGTTTTTTCATTCACGACTATGATTTCTTAATCCGATTGAACTGGAGATCGAAGAGCGCATTCTTTTTTTATTTATAATTTTCGAAGTGAATTGAAAATCGGTCCAATTTGGTAGATTCTATATTTTGAATCTTGATGTAGTTTGAGATTGCCTCCTTGGTTCTGCCAACTTGCTGATCTTAGTTGCGTCAATTAATTGTTTGATTTGTATTTTGAACCTGTATTATATATGTTGTAGGGATTTAGAAAATGGAAAAATATTATCTGTGCGTGGATTTCCATTACACAGTCATGTTTCTGGAGAATTTGTAATAAATGGTGATATTGCTTCTTTTGTGAACGCATTTTGGTACTTTGAGTGTTTTTTTATTAAAAATAAAACTATATGTACTAACTGAAGGCTCAATAATGCAGAAATCTTTGTTCGCTTGTTCTTCAATGTCTTTCTGAGATAATGGTGCCAACGTGAATAATGGCAGCTTGTTATGTTTTTTATTTGAGGTGAAAATGGATGATGAAGGTGCCATCTGGATTGGCTAGTCCTCTGCTTGATAACTCTTTTAGATTGTCCCCATATCCACATTGATTTCTCAGCATTACCTGAAAATTGGTTCTCTTCAAACTATTTCTGATAACATATTAATTACAAGTTCAGAAACTAAACATTCGCTTACATAGTTAGATGGAGGAGTTAATTTTGCCTCCATTTCAGAAGCAGAGCATTCACACTTCTAGAAGATGTGCACCAAGCAGTAAAGATATATGGGTTGCTGTCCGAGAGGGGTCTGTGTCTGATGTAGACTCAACATTGGCATTGCTGAAGAAAAATGGGGGAAACATCAATGCAAGGAATTCATTTGGTCTCACACTTCTTCATATTGCAACATGGAGAAATCATGTAGCTATTGTTAGAAGGCTGCTTGCGGCTGGTGCAGACCCGAATGCGAGGGTATGCTAAACCATCTGATCCTTATACTTCTCCACGCTTTCCATTTTTAAGTTCCTTCATAACTAGTTTTTTATTTTGCTGTCAATTATCAGAATGTGGGGCTTTTATTCTGTCTTTCAGATGTTGCTGTCGTCATTTTCTTATCTTATAAGTTAGGCACGAAATTCAATGGTTTTGTGATTAATTTTGCAGAATCATGCAAATTCATTGGAAAGAGCAGAAAGAAGTATAACCTTACTAGGTTTCTATGTGCATAAATAATAGTCCCACTTGAACATGTTGTTCAACTTGAACATGTTTTTGACATTTATCATGATAACATCCTTGAACAAATAAATGTTGTGTAAGTTAATAAGAATGTTGAAATTTGAAACGTTCTATAAGTTTTCCTAACAGTGGAAACGCTTTATCTAGTACAGAGTTGAAGAGAGCCTTGAGAGACACACTACTTTGGTCTCTTTGTGGTCTCATTTTAAATTACTACTGATTTTTTTGATTTAAACTATCAAATAACATAAAAATCTTGTCATAAAATTGTAAATTTAGGCCATATTCCAATTGCACTATGTTTAGTTTCTGGTTGTTGGGCCACTCTGAACTATTGCATGACTAATTGAAGTTTGTTGATTAGTTCCTTCCTGTAACCGTTTAATCTTTTTCCAAGCTATATTAATTTCAGCTCCCAGAAAATTTCTGAGTCTTCTTTCTTCTCTTAATAGTCCTATTGGAAATTTCAGTTGTAAAATGCTTTATCCTCGTTACCCTTTGTCATGAGGACAGAATATGTATTGCTTGTTTCTGTCTTCCTATCTTCTAATGGTATATTAAATATTGTGAATGGCAATTTGATTAGTTGGCAGTGTTCTTAAATGATTGTGCTAATTATATTTTATGTTTTGGTTAGAATATTATTTGAGAAGAATCTAAGAACAAGAAAAAAGAATCTGTCATATTGTTTGCCTTTCTAATTTTCATAGTAATAGCTGTGGCGCCAACTACTGCCTTGTGACCACAGATTTATATATTCAAGTTTATTCATGATATTTTCAGGTAATATGTGCCCGTATTCCTAGTAGTTTTTTGATTTGTGTGTTTTCCTTGCTTTTCCTGAATGATTTTGTTAACAAATGTTATCTTTGAAGAATTTCTAGGAGAAATCCTTTCAAATAGCACAGTATGTTTAGATGCGTCTTTTGGTGGGAGATGACAAGGGCTTTAACCATCTGTGATGCTTGAAAGTTTTGTTATTCTTTCTGAATATCTATTGATTTTCATTTTCAGGATGGTGAATCAGGATGGAGCAGCCTTCACAGAGCTCTTCATTTTGGTCATCTTGCAGTTGCTTGTGTCCTCCTTCAATCTGGTGCTTCTATCACACTGGAAGACTTGAAATCTAGAACACCGGTTGATCTGCTCTCTGGGCCTGTGATGCAGGCTGTTGGGAAGGCTAACAGTTCAGGTAGTTGTGTTTAGCTGCTGTAGTTAACTGTGAAGTAGTTGAGAGCAGCTTTTAAAACCATATTCTGTTTGTTCAGTCGCCACCGAGGTTTTCAGCTGGGGGAGTGGTGTCAATTATCAACTTGGAACTGGAAATGCTCACATTCAGAAATTACCATGCAAAGTTGATTCACTTCATGGATCATTCATTAAACTGGTTTCTGCTTCAAAGTTCCACAGTGTGGCTGTTACTGCACTCGGAGAAGTCTACACCTGGGGATTTGGAAGGGGTGGCCGTCTTGGGCATCCCGACTTTGATATACACAGGTAAAGGACTCACTTTAGCCATTTCAGGCAGTTACAGGGAAAAAAGATACTTTAGCCTTGTTTACTGAAGAAAATTTAAAAATTTAAGGAGAACTTGTAACCAATCCTGCCTTTGGCTTAATGATTCTGAGAGTCACTTTAGCCATTTTCGGCCAGTTACTGGGAAAAAGATACTTTAGCTTTGTTTACTGAAGAAAATCTTGAAATTTAAGGAGAACTTGTAACCAATCCTGCCTTTGGCTTAATGATTCTGAGAGTCACTTTAGCCATTTTCGGCCAGTTACTGGGAAAAAGATACTTTAGCTTTGTTTACTGAAGAAAATCTTGAAATTTAAGGAGAACTTGTAACCAACAATGATTTTGGCTTAATGATTCTGATTGCATTTCTTTTCCTTTTTAAGTATTTTAAGATTTGGCTCTCATCATCACACTATAATCGAACTTATTCATTTTTTTAGCGTATTGGTGTCAATGGACCTATATAAAAGGTTATATATTTGGGGTTTCATTTTGTCTGCTACACCCCCTTTGGCTCTCTTCTGTGGGTTTTTTAGAGGGGAGTGTTAAAAAGGAAAAATATGCTCATCTCTGAAGTTTGTCTCATTATATGAACTTTATTCAGGAGAATTGATGTTCAAAAAAAAAAA